AGGAGGAGGAGGAGGACAATGGGGTCCTTGGTGCTCTCTGAGTTTGATGGTTTTTCTTGCAGACATTTCATAACACAACTAGGTAACATCATCAGTAGTAGAAGAGAGTGGGGATTGCAGAGAGGAGGAGGAGGAGGAGGAGGAGGAAGAGGAAGAGGAGGAGGAGGCGTCCTGTGGTGTTCCTGACGCCCTCTGAGCCGGATGGTTTTCTTGCAGACATTTCATCACCCCACTACGCAACGTCCTCAGTGCAGATTCAAGAGGGAATTTTGCCTCCGGTTCTAAAACGTTGCTCCGCAGACACCTGGCCCAGCCTGCTGGACCGCATCAGCGCCCTCGAACCTGAGGTCCCTTCGTGGGATGTGGGGAAGAAGAGAGCAGCCTTTACCTAGGATCATGTTGGCCACCGATGCCGAGAGGGTGAATTGCTGCTCCAGGAATTTAGCCAAAAAAGTGGATAAGCCTGCGATCATGGCCGACAGGTTGACCATCGCCAAAACTACCATCACGAAGACCGGGTTCTTGAGATTTCTCAGCAAGACCACTGGGAACACTGCAAACACCGGAGGGAAAGAAAAGGACGAGCTTGTAAAAAGAGGAACAATCGGTACCAAAGATCAGGTGGTCCTGGACTTAATAATAATAATAATAATAATAATAATAATAATAATAATAATAATAATAATAATAATAATAATAATAATAATAATAATAAGAAGAAGAAGAAGAAGAAGAAGAAGAAGAAGAAGAAGAAGAAGAAGAAGAAGAAGAAGAAGAAGAAGAAGAAGATGACGACTGTGCAATGATCAATAATAATAATAATAATAATAATAATAAAATTGGAAGGGACCTTGGAGGTCATCTAGTCCAACCCCCTGCTCAGGCAGGAAACCCTATACCATTTCGGACAAATGGCTGTCCATTCTCTTCTTAAAGACTTCCAGTGTTGGAGTATTCACAGCTTCTGGAGGCAGGCGGTTCCACTGGTTAATTGTTCTAACTGTCAGGAAGTTTCTCCTTAGTTCTAGGTTGCTTCTCTCCTTGGTTAGTTTCCATCCATTGCTTCTTGTCCTGCCTTCAGGCGCTTTGGAGAACAGCTTGACTCCCTCTTCTTTGGGGCAGCCCCTGAGATATTGGAAGGTTGCTATCCTGTCCCCCCTCGTCCTTCTCTCCGTTAAACTAGACATACCCAATTCCAGCAACCGTTCCTTGTATGTTTTAGCCTCCAGTCCCCTGATCCTCTTTGTTGCTCTTCTCTGTACTCTTTCTAGAGTCTCAACATCTTTTTTACACCATGGTGACCAAAACTGGATGCCGGATTCCAAGTGTGGCCTTGTAGAGTGGTATTAATACTTAACAACAGCTTTTTTCGTGACCGTTCAAAGTTACAACGGCACTGGAAACAAAGAAATTTAGGGCCATTTTCCCCCGCTTGTGACGATTGCAGGATCTCCACAGTCACTTGCTCAAAATTCTGATGCTTGGCAACTGACTCGTATTTACGACGGTCACAGTGTCCCGGATGTTCGCTTTGAGGTTTACCTGTGTCCTCAGGGTCACCTGAGTAGTGCAAATGGGTGTGGAGCCTTCTTGGCTGCAGAATGTTCTCCGCCCTGGGTCCCTTCACTGTGGAAGGCCCTGAGGACACAGACAAACCTCCAGGTGGCCTCAATGACTCTCTAAAAGAAGGCAAATGACCAGCTGTCTACAAGGAGTATAAATCCTTCCACTCCCCACCATTCAGTCAGAGCTGAAGAAGCTTCTTGGATGTCTCTGGAGATTCTCCGTCATCCAGGTCCTTGTTGTCCCAAAGGTGCTTTTTTTAGGAGGCAACTGGACTTTCTGGTTTTTCTTTGAAGACGTTTCGCTTCTCATCCCAGAAGCTTCTTCAGCTCTGCCTGGATGGTGGAGAATGGAAGGATTTATACTCCTTGCAGAGAGCTGGTCATTTGCATTCTTTGAGACAGTCGTTGAGGCTACCTGGAGGTTTGTCTGTGTCCTCAGGGTCACCTGAGTGATGCAAATTGGTGTGGAGCCTTCTTGGAACTGCGGAATGGACTGTGTTGTAGACTGGAGATAGATAGATAGATCACCCATTTGCACCACTCAGGTGACCCTGAGGACACAGGTAAGCCTCCAAGTGGCTTCAACGACTCTCTAAAAGGATGCAAATGACCAGGTTTTTTTGCAAGGAGCATAAATCCTTCCATCCCCCACCATCCGGTCAGAGTGGATGATGAAGACGAGAAGTGAAACGTCTTCAAAGAAAAAACAAGAAAGTCCAGTTGCCTCCTGAAAAAGCACCTTTGGGTTTTTCCTTGAAGACGTTTCGCTTCTCTTCCAAGAAGCTTCTTCAGCTCTGACTGGATGGTGGGGAATGGAAGGATTTATACTCCTTGCAGACAGCTGGTCATTTGCATCCTTTTAGAGAGTCATTGAGGACACCTGGAGGTTTATTTATGTTTATACAACACTGTCCTTTCAGCAGTTCCAAGAAGGCTCCACACCCATTTGCACCACTCAGGTGACCCTCAGGACACAGACAAACTTCCAGATGGTCTCAACGACCCTCTAGAAGGATGCAAATGACCAGCTGTCTGCAAGGAGTATAAATCCTCCCACTCCCCACCATCCACTCAGAGCCGAAGAAACTTCTGGGATGAGAAGCGAAACATCTTCAAGGAAAAACCCAAAGGTGCTTTTTTCAGAAGGCAACTGGACTTCCTTGTCTTTCTTTGAAGACGTTTTGCTTCTCATCTTCACCATCCGCTCTGATTGGATGGAGGGGAGTGGAAGGATTTATACTCCTTGCAGACAGCTGGTCATTTGCCTTCTTTTAGAGAGTTGGTGAGGCCACTTGGAGGTTTGTCTGTGTCCTCAGGGTCACCGGAGTGGTGCAAATGGGTGATCTATCTATCTCCAGTCTACAACACAGTCCTTTCAGCAGTTCCAAGAAGGCTCCACACCCATTTGCACCACTCAGGTGACCCTGAGGACACAGGTAAAGCTTCAGGTGGCCTCAATGACAATCTAAAACAGGGCTTTTCAACCTTTTCACCCATTGTACCACTTTTAGGATATGGCAACATCCGAGGACCACCAGTCGCCTAGCAAGGGGTCAAAAACTTGATGACCCAAAAAAAAAAAAAAGGAAAAAAGTGATAAAGTACAGGTAGTCCTCGACTTACAACAGTTCGCTTAGTGACTGTTCGAAGTTACAATGGCACTGAAAAAAGTGCCCCCCAAGCCACAGCCGAGCAAGACACATGCCTGCCCACCCGGCGGCGCTCTTCCTCCTGTCCGAGGTTTTCACTGTTGTGAGCATTTCTGTTGAGGATTGGCAGCGGGGGTGGGGTGGGGGGTGTTTGGTTTTTATTCCCCCCCGTCTGCTGGGTGGTTGAAGCAGGTTTTGGTCCCTTCACATGACCCTGGGACACTGTGACCGTCATAAATATGAGTCAGTTGCCAAGCATCTGAATGTAAATCACAAGACCCTGGAGAGGCTGCAACATTCCAGCTGATCGGCGCTTCTTCAGGGCTCAGCAGAAGCCCCAGGATCAGTGCTGAGTTCCAGCTGGATCCTGGCGCTGATCCTGGCGCTTCCGCTGAGCCCTGACAGCCCTGCAGCTCCAGCTGTCTCTCGCTCAGGCTTGTGCGGTGCTGCCACCGGTTCAGCTCATTCCCCTCCCCTGCTCCCACTTTTCTAGGATGCTCGCGTACCCCCTGCCAGGTGCCCATGTACCACAGGTGGTACCACTGGTTGAAAAGCCCTGCTCTAAAAGAATGCAAATGACCAGCTCTCTGCAAGGAGTATAAATCCTTCCCTTCCCCACCATCCGGTCAGAGCTGAAGAAGCTGTTTGGAGGAGAAGCGAAACTTCTTCAAAGAAAAACAAGAAAGTCCAGTGGCCTCTTGAAAAAAGCACCTTTGGGACGTAATGACAATTATTAGTGCAGCTAAGTTGAGGCAACACCATGTCAAGGGACAGCTGATTGCTGTGGTTATGTTTTAACGGCCTCAAAGGCCGTTGATGACTCCGGAGAGGCATTAGGAAGAAAAGCTGAACTATGTAATTACTCGTCTTGGTGTCCCTCAGGAGACCAAAAGTTAGAGTGGAAAGTCAATTTCAGCTAAAAATGGAAAAGGAAAGAAATAGAGATCTTTTTTTCCCTCTGCAAGAAAGCCTGTGGTACAGGTAGTTAAAGCTACCTGTGGTACAGACTAAACAGAAGTTCCCTAAAGATGGGCTCTGGTCCTGTGACCGACCCAGATTGGATTCTGGTACAGGTAATCCTTGATGTTTTGGTCACCAGAATATTAAAAAGATGCTGAGACTCTAGAAAGAGTGCAGAGAAGAGCAACAAAGATGATCTGGGGACTGGAGGCTAAAACATATAAGGAACAGTTGCTGGAATTGGGGATGTCTAGTTTAATGAAGAGAAGGACGAGGGGGGACAGGATAGCAGTCTTCCAGTATCTCAGGGGCTGCCCCAAAGAAGAGGGAGTCAAGCTATTCTCCAAAGCCCCTGAAGGCAGGAGAAGAAGCAACGGATGGAAACTCATCAAGGAGAGAAGCAACGTGGAACTAAGGAGAAACTTCCTGACAGTGGGAACAATTAACCAGTGGAACCACCTGCCTCCAGAAGCGGTGAATGCTCCAACACTGGAAGTTTTTAAGAAGAGACTGGACAGCCATTTGTCTGAAATGGTATAGGGTTACCTGCCTGAGCAGGGGGTTGGACTAGATGACCTCCAAGGTCCCTTCCAACTTTATCATTATTATTATTATAAACCCAGTTGAAGGCCTAGGACTCGGGTGACGGTGCGTGTGCCCACAGAGAGGGCTCTGCGTGCCATAGGTTCGCCACCACTGGTATAGGGTTTCCTGCCTGAGCAGGGGGTTGGACCAGATGACCTCCGAGGTCCCTTCCAACTATTACTACTACTACTACTACTACTACTACTACTACTACTATTATTATTATTATTATTATTATTATTATTATTATTATTATTATTATTATTATTATTATTATTATTATTATTATTATTATTATTATTATTATTATTATTTATTCTGCAAAGCGCCTGAAGGCAGGACGAGAAGCAACGGATGGAAACTCATCAAGGAGAGAAGCAACCTGGAACTAAGGAGAAACTTCCTGACAGAACAATTAACCAGTGGAACAACCTGCCTCCAGAAGTGGTGAATGCTCCAACACTGGAAGTTTTTAAGAAGAGACCGGACAGCCATTTGTCCAAAATGGTATAGGGTTTCCTGCCTGAGCAGGGGGTTGGACTAGATGACCTCCAAGATCCCTTCCAACTTTATTATTATTATTATTATTATTATTATTATTATTATTATTATTATTATTATTATTATTATTATTATTATTACTATTACTATTACTATTATTATTATAGATAGCAGCCTTCCAGTATCTCAGGGGCTGCCCCAAAGAAGAGGGAGTCAAACTATTCTCCAAAGCCCCTGAAGGCAGGACAAGAAGCAACGGATGGAAACTAACCAAGGAGAGAAGCAACCTAGAACTGAGGAGAAATTTTCCTGGCAGTGAGAACAATTAGTCAGTGGAACAGCTTACTACCAGAAGTTGTGAATGCTCCAACACTGGGAGTTTTTAAGAAGAGATGGGAGAACCATTTTCTGAAATGGTACAGGGCTTCCTGCCTGAGCAGGGGGCTGGACTAGAAGACCTCCAAGGTCCCTTCCAACTTTCTTATTCTGCTAACAAGAGAGAAGAGCGTGTTCATCTCCTGACTGGTAGCATTTCCAAAACACCTTTTTGCCACTAGGAAAAATACAATACTGACTGTGCCAAAACAGAAGTTGTTCCTAAATCCATATTCTGAGAATAGGGAGGGAGGATTCTTAATTTTCTCATTTTGGAGCAAGCAATCAATACTTCAAGGCAAAGTGTTAATGCAAAAAGAGGCCTGTTCTCTCTCTCTCTCTCTCTCTCTCTCTCTCTCTCTTTTTTTTTTTTTTTTTTACACCTTCGGAAGGACCGGGGTCCATAAATATAGGTTTCCTGCCTCGGGGCAACCGAACGACTTTAAATCAAAATGTCCCGCTCTGATAGGTATTAAAGGCCTCCTAAATTTCATGCCTCCTGCAATATTCCCAGTCCCTTTCCCGTCAGGGCAATTTATCTTGTGTGCCCTTTCTTCAGTTTAAAATCTGTGTCTTTGAAAAATGGGAACTTTGGGCATTAATTTAGGGCGGTGGAATTAAGGTGTCAGGGGCGCTAATGAACCCGGGAGCCGTAGATAGGGATTTATCTATAATTCACAGCTGGAAAGGAATGTGAATTATACATAAATAAAGGAAGATCCGTCTCCTTGGTCAGCCAGGAACTGTGCTCTCACCCGTCCGGAAAGCCGGAGGAAAATGGGAGGTTAAGGTTTAATCTGTGGATTAGAAGAGATAGGAGCGTTGGTATTATGTTCTGGGAAATCTCAGCGAGGAACCAAGTGTTCTTGCTTTATCGGGATTTTATCTATGCGGCCTTTTTTTTTAAATTTTGAACCGAAGAAACAAAACTTCCAGACCAAAAGTAACCTAGAGAGGGAAGGAAACTAAACGAAGGAGAAACAACAAAAGCGAATGAAAAAAGGCAAAAAGAGAGAGGCTCATGAATTTAGCATCTGCAAATAGGTGTATCTCTATTGGTCTGAAGATTTTTTTAAACGGTTCTGCTTCCTTGTTACTACTTATTGAAATGCACATTCAAACAGGGCAAAATAGGAGCCAGCCGTGTGCTGCAGCTGCCACAAAAGCCAACACAGTGCTAGGCTGCATTAACAGAGGGAGAGAATCAGGATCACGTGAAGTCTTAATACCACTTTACAAGGCCTTGGTAAGGCCACACTTGGAATCCTGCATCCAGTTTTGGTCACCACGATGTAAAAAAGATGCTGAGACTCTAGAAAGAGCACAGAGAAGAGCAACAAAGATGATTAGGGGACTGGAGGCTACAACGTATAAGGAACGGTTGCTGCAATTGGGTATGTCTAGTTTAATGTCAAGAGAAGGACGAGGGGGGACAGGATAGCAGTGTTCCAATATCTCAGGGACTGCCCCAAAGAAGAGGGAGTCAAGCTATCCTCCAAAGCGTCAGAGGGCAGGACAAGAAGCAACGGATGGAAACTCATCAAGGAGAGAAGCAACCTGGAACTAAGGAGAAACTTCCTGATATTTAGAACAATTAACCAGTGGAACTCCTTGCCTCCAGAAGCGGTAAATGCTCCAACACTGGAAGTTTTTAAGAAGAGACCGGACAGCCATTTGTCTGAAATGGTATAGGGTTTCCTGCCTGAGAAAGGGGTTGGGCTAGATGACCTCCAAGGTCCCTTCCAACTTTACTGTTGTTGTTGTTGTTGTTGTTGTTGTTGTTGTTATTATTATTATTATTATTATTATTATTATTATTATTATTATTATTATAGATAGCAGCCTTCCAGTATCTCAGGGGCTGCCCCAAAGAAGAGGGAGTCAGGCTATTCTCCAAAGTGCCTGAAGGCAGGACAAGAAGCAACGGATGGAAACTAACCAAGGAGAGAAGCAACCTGGAATTAAGGAGAAACTTCCTGACAGTGAGGACAGTTAACCAGTGGAACTACCTGCCTCCAGAAGCGGTGAATGCTCCAACACTGGACGTTTTTAAGAAGAGACTGGACAGCCCTTTGTCCGAAATGGTATAGGGTTTCCTGCCTGAGCAGGGGGTTGGACTAGATGACCTCCAAGGTCCCTTCCAACTTTATCATTATTATTATTATTATTATTATTATTATTATTATTATTATTATTATTATTATTATTATTATTATTATTATTATTTAAAAAAACTTACTTTTGACAAACTGCAATAGAGTGAAGCTTTCCTCCTCCTGGCTTTTATTCTTAAGCTGCTCGGCTACTTCTTCTTTGGTCATGTCTGCGATGCTCTTTCGGGCGGCTTCATCCTAGAGAGAGGGAAATTGGAAATTGAAAAGGACTGGGCCACTTCTGGGAGACTTCATCAATCAATTACATTTGGGCAGGAAAAACTCAAAGGCACAAGTACATATTGGGCGAGACCCGGCTTAAAAACAGCAACTGTGAAAGGGACCTTGGAGTCCAAGTATACGAATTTTCATCACGTGACCGTGGGGATGCTGCAACGGTCGTAAGTGCAAAAAACAAAACATCAGTCACTTTTTCCATCACCATTGTCACTTGGAACGGTCACTAAATGAATGACTGTAAGTCATGGACTACTTGTATTTAAACGACTCTGGGCAGCTGATATCCCCCTTTCTGACACCCAACCCTTCTACTGTTCCCATATAGTTATTTAGAATAGAATAGAATAGAATAGAATAGAATAGAATAGAATAGAATAGAATAGAAATATAGAATAGAAATACAGAATAGAATAGAATAGAATAGAATAGAATAGAATAGAATAGAAATACAGAATAGAATAGAATAGAATAGAATAGAATATAGAAATATAGAATAGAATAGAATAGAATAGAATAGAAATACAGAATAGAATAGAATAGAATAGAATAGAATAGAATAGAAATACAGCATAGAATAGAATAGAATAGAATAGAATATAGAAATATAGAATAGAATAGAATAGAATAGAATTACAGAATAGAATAGAAATATAGAATAGAAATACAGATTAGAATAGAATAGAATAGAATAGAATAGAATAGAATAGAATAGAATAGAATAGAGCAGAGCTGGAAGGGACCTTGGAGGTCTTCTAGTCCAGCCCCCTGCTCAAGCAGGAGAACCTACACCATCTCAGACAAGTGACTGTCCAGTCTCTTCTTAAAAACCTCCAGTGATAGAGCGCCCACAATTTCTGGTGGCAAGCTGTCCCACTGATTAACTGTCCTCACTGTCAGGAAGTTTCTCCTTAATTCCAGGTTGCTTCTCTCCTTGATCAGTTTTCCATCCATTGTTTCTCGTCTTTCCCTCTAGTGCTCTGGAGAATAACGTGACCCCATCCTCTTCCTTGGGGCAGCCCCTCAAATACTGGAACGCAGCTATCATGTCTCCCCTATTTCTTCTTTTCTTTAGACTAGCCAAACCCAAGTCCTGCAGCTGTTCTTCCTATGTTTTAGCCTCCAGGCCTTGGATCATCTTAGTTGCTCTTCTCTGCACTTTTCCCAAACTCTCAACATCTTTTTTGTGATGTGGTGACCAAAACTGGCTGCAGTATTCCAGGTGTGGCCTCACCAGGCTAATACCTCGCCTGATCTTGATTCTGTGCCTCTGTTCCAATTTGTATCCCACCTTTATTATTTTTTTTACAAACGTTCCGAAGATGCTTTTTTTCCCCCCAAAAGGCAGCTGGGCTTTTTTGAGGCTCTCCCCACACCCCGTTTGAAAATGTTGCATTTCACATCCAAGGAGCTTCTCCGGAATGACCCTTTTTAAAAGAGCAAACTTATTATGGGGGCTTTGTCATAAGAGGCTAAGAAAAAGCAAAACTTTATCTCTGCATGTTAATGAGAAGCCAGAGATAGCAAAAGCCGGCACGGGTTGGATTAATATAATAGAGACTCTCCTAACGTTTTTTTTGAAATGGCCGCCAACGCGCTCTGAAAATAAAAAGAAGATGCAATTGGCGATAAACCGTTTGGAAGATTTGGGTAGGTCTAAGGATGCGGAGGGGAAGCTAGAAAAGAATGGAGAATGTTACACAATTGAGCAGACCCTGGTCCCAAGGAGACGAAAATCAAACGTCCTTAGAGACAAGGGACTGCCAGCTGAGGTGGGAATAAAATAAAATAAATAGATTAAGCCACAATCCCAGGGGGAGATGACTCATCAGAGGAACAACTTGGTTGAACTAATGGAAGAGAATCACTGTAGCTCAGCATGGCATGGTGGTTTTCCTGCAGACGTTTCAT